CTTGGACCCACTGCTACAGTGGTTGTTTTTTGTTTTGTTTTTGTGTGTGTGATTTTTTTGTTTTTCTTTTTTTTTTTTTTTTTTTTTTTCTTTTTTTTTTTTTTTTTGACGTAGAGTCTCACCCTGTTGCTGGGGCTAGAGTGCCGTGGTGTCAGCCTGGCTCACAGAAACCTCAAACTCCTAGGCTCAAGTGATCCTCCTGCTTCAGCCTCCAGAGTAGCTGGACTACAGGCACATGCCACCATGCTGCCAATTTTTCTATATAATTTTTTAGTTGTCCAGCTGATTTCTTTCTAATTTTAGTAGAGACACGGGGTCTCATTTTGCTCAGCTGCGGTCTTGAACTTCCTGGCCTCAAGCAAGATCCTCCCCTCGGCCTCCCAAAGTGCTAGGATTGCAGGCGTGAGCTACCACACCTGGCCTAGTGCAATGCTTTGGACCTCACAAGAGGGTGTTTCTATGCTCCAATTCTTCCCAAGCTTAATAGAGCCACATTCAAAATTCAAATCCTACTGTTGGCCAGGCGCGCAGTGGCTCACGCCTGTAATCCCAGCACTCTGGGAGGCGAGGCGGGGGATTGCTCCAAGCTCAGGAGTTTGAAACCACCCTGAGCAAGAGCAAGACCCTGTTCTACTAAAAATAGAAAGAAATTAATTGGCCAAGTAATAAAATTATAGAAAAAAAATTAGCCAGGCATGGTGGCACATGCCTGAGTTCCCAGCTACTGGGAGGCTGAGGCAGGAGAATTGTTTGAGCCACAGGAGTTGGAGGTTGCTGTGAGCTAGGCTGACACCATGGCACTCTAGCGTTGGCTACAGAGTGAGACTATGTGTCAAAAAAAAACCCAAAAAAGCAACAAAATCCTGGTGTTACACTCATTTCAATCCACCATTTTTTACTTTGTTTTCAATTGTTTCTTATTTTCCTTTTTTAACCTTTTTATTTGGGGAAACAAAATCCATGCACTTTGTAAAAAAATTAATAAAATGGGTAAATAGTGAAAACTAATGACCTCTTCTACCTTGCCCTGGGATCTCTTCCCAAAGAAAAATCTTGTTTCAGTTTATGGTGTATCCTTCCCAAAATATGTCATGCGTGTTCAAGGCATAACATGTATAAGCATATACATATATATCCCTCTTTTTAAGAAAAGCACAATTGAGGCCAGGCACAGTGGCTCACACCTGTAATCCCACACTCTGGGAGGCCGAGGCAGGCACGATTGCTCAGGTCAGGAGTTTCGAAACCAGCCTGAGCAAGAGAGATACCCCATCTCTCACTATAAAGTAGAAAGAAATTAATTGGCCTAACTAAAAATATATAGAAAATATTAGCCGGGCGTGTGGCGCATGCCTGTAGTCCCAGCTACTCAGGGAGGCTGAGGCAGGGAGGATCGCTTGAGCCCAGGAGTTTTGAGGTTGCTGGTGAGCCAGGGGGCTGACACCACGGCACTCTAGCCCAGGCAACAGAGTGAGACTCTGTCTCAAAAGAGAAAAAGAAAAAACACACACACACACACACAATCAGAAGAAAGTTACCATATATATACTTCTCTACATGTTGCTTAAAATATCAGCCCATGCTGCCCTGTCTCTTTGTGACATAGCTACATAGCATTCTATTGTGTAGACATGTTATATTTTATTTAACAAGTCCTCTATTGGTGAATTCTTAGATTATTTCATCTCTGGCTGTATAAACTGCCTTGGTGAATAGCCTGGAATTTATTTCTTTGTATCTGGGTGTCCGCCTGTAAGACTAACTCTTTCAAACAACAAGTGTTTTGCTGGCCGGGCGTGGGTGGCTCACGCCTGTTCTAATCCCTACTTCTCCTGTGCGGGAGGCCGAGGCGGGCGCATCCTTTGAGTTTCAGGGTGTCGAAACCAACCTGAGCAAGAGCGAGACCCCGTCTCTTACTATAAATAGAATAAACTAATGGCCAACTATATATATTACAAAAAAAATCTACCGGCCTGGTGGTGCATGCCCTCGTATCCCAGTACCTCGGAGGCTGAGGCCGAAGGCGATCCGCTTGAGCCCAGGAGCTTTGAGGTTGGCTAGTGAGCTAGGCTCGAGACAGCACCGGCACTCCACCTCTAGCCTGGGGCAAACAACAGTGTGAGACTCTTCTCAAAAAAAAAAAAAAAAACAAGTGTTTTGTCTGACAGAGAATTTGAAATATGCGAGAAGGTACTGCCAAACCACCCCCTAAGGGGCATGCCCGACTGACACTTCCACGAAAGGCACAAGAGAATGCCTGTTTCCCTACACCCTTGCCCACGCTGCACATATTCATCCCAACTTCTTAATTCAATGGGTTGAAGTTGTGGGCCCGCTGTGTCCCGGTCATGCTCGTGCTGTTGGCTGGAAGCCAAACAGGATAACATCTGGACGGGCACAGATCCTTACCCTCACAAGGCTCGTGGGCACAGACATAAAACTGGAGATTACAGGGCAGCGTGGGAAGTTCTCTGAAGGACACCTGGAGAGGAAGCAGGTAGGCAGGTAGGCCAGAGCCCCACGTCTGCCCTGGAATGGAAAAGTCAGGAAGAAAGAGGTGCCGGCTAAGTTGCGGAAGGATGGCCATGTGGCACATGCCTGTAGTCCCAGCTACTCGGGAGGCTGAGGCAGGAGGATCGCTTGAGCTCAGGAGTTTGAGGTTGCTGTGAGCTAGGCTGATGCTACGGCACTCTAGCCTCGACAACAGAGTGAGACTCTGTCTCAAAAAAAAAAATTCTATAGATGAAAGCCACATTGGGAAAATGGAGGGAAAAAAGAAAGCACAGGATGTGAATTCAGGCTGGCACTTCGAGGGGTGTGTGCCTATGTGCCTGTCTTGGGGTGGCCTCTTGTCATTCTATAGGTGATACATCAGAGGCTCAGAGAGGTTAGAGCAGGCGTCCTCAAACTATGGCCCACCGAGGACATTTATCCGGCCCGCCGGGTGTTTTTGCCGCCGCTGCCTGTCCTGCTTAGCAGCCGACTCGTCCCGGGTCCACAGTGCGCACTCTCCAACGGTCTGAGGGACAGTGACCTGGCCCCCTGCTTAAAAAGTTTGAGGACCCCTGGGTTAGACGCCCTGGCTAGGGCCACTCAGCTTTCAGGAAGGATTATGCATTCAACCATTAGGAACTAAAACGTATCGGAAGTCTGTGTGCTGGGCTCTGGGTACAAGGTAGTGAGAAAAAAATAGGTTTGCATCCTCACAGAGCCTTTACAATCGAGTGGGGGAGACAGGCCACCATTTCCACCAGCTCTCCTTCTCTTCGTCTCCTTGGCGACAAGCTCAGCGGAGAATGTCAACTGGGGTGGGGGTGGGGGTGAGAGGACGAGGGAAGGAGGACGGGCCATCAGGCACGGGTGGCATCCGTGCAAACGAGGCCTTTCGAAGGGTCAGGAGGACTCTGGGCGGAGAGAAAGCCTCCCCGAGGTGGGAAAGATGTTGGCTTATTTGCAGGACTGGACTTTGGCCATCGGCGCCGGGCACAGGGGACCGGGAAGAGCGTGCAGCGGATGGAGCAGAAGACAGACCCCACCCGTGCCTGCGGGCCCTTGCCCGAGAGTTCAGACCCGTTATCAGAGGCACCGTGGGGCAACGGAAGCAAGTTAAGCAGGCAGGTGACACGTCCAACTTCTGCAAGTGCTAATATGGCGGCCCGGTGTGGAGTCCATGGCTGAGACACAATTCCTCTGTCGTCTCAGCCATACTCAAGGGCATTGGCACCACCACCCTCAGGGCTGTGTCAGGAATTTTGAGGCCGTTTCGGTTGACAAGATGATTGGCGCCGGTCCCTGTTGGCATCCAGTGGGCGCAGGCCAGGGGTGCTAAACCTCCTGCAATGAGCGAGATGATCCTCCCGCGTGAGGAAGCTCCCTGCAGCCCGCCTGCCTTGCCGGTGCTCCCACTGGATGTTAACAGAGGCTGAAAAACCTGTTTATGAGGCGCTGAGTCTAGATCCTAACTCTGCCTTGCATTTAATTTTTATTTATTTTTGAGACAGAGTCTCACTCTGTCGCCCACGCTAGAGTGCCGTGGCGTCAGCCTTGCTCACAGCAACCTCCAACTCCTAGGCTCAAGCGATCCTCTTGCCTCAGCCTCCGAGTAGCTGGGACTACAGGCGTGCGCCACCATGCCTGGCTAATTTTTTTTTTCTATATAATTTTAGTTGTCCAGATAATTTCTTTCTATTTTTTTAGTAGAGACAAGGTCTTGCTCTTGCTCAGGCTAGTTTCGAACTCCTGACCTTGAGCGATCCTCCCGCCTCGGCCTCCCAGAGTGCTAGGATGACAGGCGTGAGCCACCGCGCCCGGCCTCTGGCTTACATTTAAAATCAAAGCATTTTTGGCGTGTTTCTAGGGAGGTCAAGGGACCTTTACCAAGAGTGGCTTACCATTTCAGGAAATCAGTTTTACTGATCCTCAGGCTTAGGAGTCCCCAACCCTGCACTCCTCCACACCCCTCAGTAGATATTTCGATTGTCATCTTCACAGTGACTCTCCGTATGGGAGCCAGCAAAGCACTATTTCTTTAGGTATTTTAAGTATTTACATTTTGAAGGTTTTTACTATTATTTAGTTTCCTTTTGTTTTTCTTTTATGTCATGGCGTTGACTTTACCATTGCTAGTTGGGTGGGCAGTTCGATCATCTAAGAAATTGCACTATAAGAAATCTTTGCTGGAAAGGATGTTCGGGTCTGACGGGGCTGAGAACCCCTGGGGCTCTGTCTTCTGCAGTGCAAAGCTTTGTTCTCCCAGGATTACGGGAGCGAACCTGAGGCTCAGAGAGGTTGAGGAACTTGCCCAAGGTCACACAGCAAATGGAGAGTAAACCCCCAGAGCTGTGTCTTTGAGCACTTGACAATGCTGCCTCTTGGTGACCCATGCACTGGGGACCCAGCTGGGGACGCCCACTCTCTGGAGCTCCGTTGGACACGCCCTGTGACAGGGAGCACTTACCCGCCCGAGCTCCTTGTCCTCCAGGGCCAGGACGCCTGTGCTCTCAGTGAACAGCTTCACCTTCACGGCCGGCAGGGCGTGGGTCGTGGAGAAGTCACCCTGGGTGCCCCAGCTGCAGACAGAACCAGAGAGGTCAGCGTGGTCACGTCCCTCTCGACAACTGCTCAGCCATTCCCTTCCTTCCCAGGCTCGGGGGAATGCAGGGTTAAGCTGCGACAGCACCGGCTGTCACACCCTCCTCCCTCCCCTCGAGCTGCCTGAGTGACACACAGTGTTAATTAACTTGTTAGGCGAATGCAAGGCAGATGCTCAGAAAGTTGCCATCGGGTCTTCACAGAGCCCTGTAAGGAATCACTTGGAATTAGCATGAAATCAACTTGGTGATAATGTTTCCCCATGCAAGTTTGCTCTACCCACCAACTATTCCAGGGCAACCACTAATATTCCATCGCATCCTTTTGATTCTTTGTTTTTTGGAACTTCCGTTTTTGGGTTTTGGATTGGGGCGGGGTTCTTCAACTTCGGGCCTTCGGGCCCCTTGGGGGCCCCTTGGGCCTTTTTTCGGCCCGCCACCGGGTGTTTTTGCCGCCGCTGCCTGTCCTGCTTAGCAGCCGACTCGTCCCGGGCCCACAGTGTGCAATCTCCAACGGTCCGAGGGACAATGACCTGGCCACCTGTTTAAAAAGTTTGAGGACCCCTGGAATAGGGCTTCACTTGGTTCAAACCAACACCTGACTTTAAGATGAGACTTCAGCAGTGGCGGTGGGGAGCTGGGGAGCCCCGATTCCTCTGGCATTCGAAGATGAGTTGAGTCAGGGGGCGAGTGGGGCCACCCCTGTGCACGTCAGAGAGAGATTGGGAGGCAGAAGGATGAGGATGTGGGAAACGCCATGCCCTGCTCGTGATCTGTGGGTGGCTTGCCCAGCAACTGGGTAGAGTGCCAGGTGTGGCTCATGTGAGCCCCTCATGTGCCCCTCAAGATGTGGCCTTTTCATTCATTCACTCATTATTCTTACAGGGAATTCACCGCTGTCCCTTCTGTACCTGCAGGCCGAGGGATCTCCCGCAAGTGTTAACTGGGTCGCATTCGGGGCCTGCCCCAAACTCTCCCGTGGCACCTGCTCCACTGCACTCAGGTTGGATCTGGGCCCCTGGCGGTGAAATCCCACTCGTCTGCTCCAGCCTCACGGGCCTCCTGACTCCGCCACCTCGGGCCCGTGTCATCCCAGGTCCCCTCTGCTGGCAACGTGCTCCCCACTGGCTACCTCTTCTCGGCTCAGCTTAAACGCCACTTTCCCAGAGAACGTGTCCCTTGATCTCCCAACCTAACCTGGGTTCTACTGTCAAACTCTCTTTAGCATACTACCACTTAATTTTGCAACCTAGTAATCACTGGATTTGTAATTATTGATTTGTGTGATTAACAGCAGACTCCCTCGATATTCTGTAAGTTCCCTGAGCACAGGGACTGTGGTTTAAAGTCTGTGTCGTATACCCAGAACTTAGCACAGCGCTTGACACACAGATGACATTTAATAAATATTTGTTGACTATGCAAATGGTGCCAAATACATGCTCTTCTCCAGGACTAGGAAACAACATAGATACGATTTTTTATAAGGCATTTTTCAATTTGCTTTCTAGGATGACCAATTTCCATAGTGTAAAATACTCATTAAAATAGGATTCTTTTTTTTTTTTTTTTTGAGACAGAGTCTCACTTTGTTGCCCAGGCTAGAGTGAGTGCCGTGGTGTCAGCCTCACTCACAGCAACCTCAGACTCCTGGGCTCAAGCAATCCTGCTGCCTCAGCCTCCCGAGTAGCTGGGACTACAGGCATGCGCCACCATGCCCGGCTCATTTTTTTCTCTATATATTTTTAGTTGGCCAATTAATTTCTTTCTATTTTTTAGCAGAGACGGGGTCTCGCTCTTGCTCAGGCTGGTTTCAAACTCCTGACCTTAGCGATCCTCCTGCCTTGGCCTCTCAGAGTGCTGGGATTACAGGCGTGAGCCACCGCGTCCGGCCTGTATTCTTCTTTTTTAAATTAGGAAAACCTGCCTTCTAGTCTTGCTGTTGCATTCAACCAAAGAAAACCTGTTCACCAAACTCAAAGACACAGGGAATCTGGTGAGAGTTGGTAAGAGAGCCCCAGAATGATCAAGATTGGGGGGACCCAGATCCATGCGGGTCTGATGTGTGAAAGCCATCGAGAAAGCACAACAGTCACAACAGAGACGGGGATCGGCCATGAGACAGGACAAACAGTGACAGGCTTCAAACACAGTGTTTGATGTACAGACAGAAACTGCGAACTGGACACCACTGGGCCCCACCAGCTGCACGCAAGCCTCTAAGATAAGGGTATCTTGGTTCTAGCAAAGGCAAGGGTTTTGAACCAGACATCTCTAGTTCAAATCCCACCTCAGTCACTTATGGATTGGGAGCAAGTTAATTAACGTCTGTGTGTCTCAATTTCCTCAGCTATAAAACAAGCTCATTTCAGAGCTACTAACTAACTAAACTTTACAACTAACTAACAGAGTATGTAGTTGTAAAGCGTGAATAGCTGCAGGCTTACAACAGAATGAGGACACAACACGTTTTGGTTACCTTCCCTTCCCAAAGTAAGGAGATATATTCTAGTAATAGTGATAATCATTTGCCTATTTCTATCTATCTATTTTTTGTTTCATTGACAGGCAATTATTATATATATATTTCTGGAGTACAGAGTGCTATTTTGATACATGTATACAGTGTGTAATGATCCAGCCGGGGTAAATAGCATATCCATCACCTCAAATATTTATCATTTCTTTGTGTTGGAAACATTAAAAATCCTCTCTTCTAGCTATTTGAAAATATGCAATAAACTATTTTATTTTATTTTATATTTTTATTTTTTGCAATAAACTGCTTTTAACCATAGGCACCCCACAGCACCATAGAACACTAGGACATTCCTATCAAGATCTTGCCTATTTTATTCCAGTGAACTGTGACCAAGCTGGACTAGAACCCAAATCTCTTAATTCCCACATTTCAGCTCCCTGCTATGATTGTCCCTAATGGTCAGTAATGAGCACTATTAGTGGTTAGCACCATTGGCAAAGAACATAACCATTCATTTGTTATTTATGATTAATTGTGCTATTAATCTCTTTGGGCATTCATCGTACTTGGTCTTGGGGATGAGAAAGATAACTGCTGGAGTTCTGCAATGAGAAGCTTTGATACTAAGCCACAGAGAGACCTTGAGCCCAGTGCCCTGGGGGTGCCCCACTCTGTGTCCCATGCCACAGTCCTCGGGCTGGTTTGCAGGGCCTTCCTGGCCTGCTAGTTGGGAACCAACCCAGTCTGCCTGAACCCTTGTTGCCACCCAGAGATGCTCAGCTCATAAGGCATGCAATGACTCACACTGTGGGGCCCTTGGTGCTTCTGAGACCAACGTCAACTGGATGGAATCCAAGGGACTGGAGGCTGCCCTGACAACCTCCTCCCCCCATCCAGTTGGACCCTGAATGGCTTTTCCTCCTCACCAGGCCTGCAGCTGTGCTCTTGGCTTCCTCCCATGACCCTTGGCTCACCTCGAGTTGTTAGATCACTACTGAATCCCAGTTGAACCACCCAATTCCAAAATGGTAACCTGGCCTAGTAAAGCAGGCAAAAAGGAAAGTTCTCTCATTTGATCAGGACTGGCTATCTAAGTTTCAGGGCCCAGTGCAAAGAAAAAACGCAGAACTCCTTGTTCAAAATGCAGAGAAGAAAATGCCATTGAAAGTACTAAAATATAACGTGTTTTCCTGTTTCCTCTGCTCAAACGCATGCTTCCTTGTTCCTTGGGACTTCACTTACAAACACGAGGTCCGAGATAAACTTATTAAGAATTTCAAGATGGCAACGGCAGAGAATTAAGCCAGACATGGGTCCCTCCTGAGCACAGATCACGTGCCACCATGCCAGCTCTGATCTAAGGCCACCCCAGTCCGATTAGCCCGGGATGTGGAGGGGCCATGCAGGGGGTGTCACCTGGCTGCCATTCACTGTTGACATGAAACTTTCGTGCCTAGCTACAGTCATTGGATCCTGTGAAAACTCCTGGCTTCTTTTTGTCCATATTTCCTATTCTTAGGAGAAGCATGGTTTAATTATTGGCACACTTTCCTAACTGCCCCCCCCCTCCCTTTTAGGAAAAAAAAAAGTCATGAAAATGTCCACTCTTTGTCTTTTTCTAGCCAAGGAGAGAGACCTGGCTATCTTTATAATGAAAACAGTTAATATTTATTCAAATCACTATGTGCTAGGCACAAATTCCTATCTCAAAAGGGTTACACAGTCATGCATGCATTTATCTTTGTAAACCCTTTTGGCCATCCTGCAAAATGCCTGTGTCATTCCCAGAGTCACAAAAGAGGAAACTGAGGCTTGGAGAGGCTAGGTAATGTGTCTAGGGTCACACATGGGGGGTAAATGGCAGGGTGACTCCACGATCCAAACTCTTAACCATGCCACCAAATTGCCTCCTTCCTTCATTCCACCAACTCACTCCTTTGTGTCTTGATCCAGTTAACGTAAGTTACCTCTGTAACTCAGAGAGAAAGTCCTGTTTCAAGACTGCTTGAACTTTGGCTCACTCTGGCTTCTAACTTTGGATTTATTTCACATCTTCAATGTATTTGCTACAACCCACCCAGACAAGTTAGCCAGTGGAGGAGGTATCAAAAACGCTTGGCCTTTGGGTGTGACCACACATCCATAAACGAATCTATTTCTCATTGTTGCATTTTCTCTGCCCATTTCTTTTCCCTCGCTGTGCAACTGGCTGTAGCTACTAAGATGAATACCTCTTCTTACAAGTTTCCCAGAACTAAAATACAATTGCACTTTGATTTCAAAAGACCAGAGGGTGGTCATATTTATTGCAAGCAGAGAGTGGAAAGGTTAATGGACTAACTTCTCTCTGAGCACAAGGTAGATAAAGTAAAATGGGTTGGGTGTCCTTCTTTTGTGATTATTGCTACCATTGTTCTCACACCCTGTGGTTCACTCACAAAAACGTTAAAATCACTCACAAAACTATTTAAAACCAGTGCTTCTGGTTTCCCTGGCC